GGGGCAGAGAGGGAGGTTACTTTTTAACACTGAGAAACGGTTGCAGAAAAGCTATCCACACTTTCAACTACTTGTGCTAAACTACCCAGCCGTTTTTATCGGATTTCTTTTTCAGTGGTCATATTTCTCTGTTACTCAGGTTCAAGTACATTCAATCCACGCCTTTTATTCAACCAACTGGAGAGCTGTGACTAGGAATGTAATAAAATTAAAGAGGCAGAATTCACATTGCCATGTCCATTAATAGTCACACTGTTTTGTTTTCTTTCTTTACAATTTTTTTTTTTTTTGTAGAATTGCTTTGTAGTTCCCAAGGATTTATCTGACTGATGTCAATGAAGAATGAACCAATGCAGGAAATATTCGGCCTGAATGTCACAAGCACCCCATTAAAATGTTGGCTGCTGCAGGAAGTGGTGATGATTTTTTCTCATTTTCAAGCTGTAAAAATGGAGAAAATTCTTACTCTAATCCCTCTCCCCTTGTTCTGAAATTTTCAACCTTGGGCTCATCTTTATCACAGCAACTAGAAAAATACAAGGTGATATAAACACCACTGCCCCCCATTGCCTTTGGAGAGGTCATGCCTTGAACGACCCTCCTTCCCCGTGTAGGCTCACGGGGGGCACTGTACCCTGACCCCTGTGAAGCACGAAGGCGAACTCTCAGCCGGGCACTCACACCCAGGTTAGTCAGCTGTCCTTCCGCTCAGTCCCTCTAACCACACAACCTATTTCCCACTCAACGCTCCTCAACACAGAAATAATCTGGCATATTGCTGTGGAGTTTTTTAACATTTTTGCCTGCATCGCTCCCCAGACGGCTGTGGATTCTTACTCACCATAACGCCTCCCCAGAGAGGGTACCACACAGTCACACAGATGGGCACATGGACCTCCATGTGGATCATCAGGAGGCCGCCGAGGGCGATGTGGAAGAGCCCGTTCATGATCTGGACCGCCTGGGAGGAAGCAGGGGCACTGATGGGTGAACCCAAATCACCTTCAAGTCAGAAGGCAAAGGTGAGGCTGCAGGCCCTGGCTTGGGCCTGTTCAAAGTGCCCAAAGGAAGTGGTGAAGATGCCAAGGCACGTGTCTTGTTCGGATTCATTTTCCCCACCACCCGGGACATTTCCAAGGCAGGTATGCGTGGGATGCTGGTGACCAACTGGAATGGGAGATCCCTAAATGCGCAAGCCTCAGAATCAAAAGGGGACATAGATCACTGTGATAACGTCTCTGTATGTCCCTGATTTGACCCACCGTTTTAGACCTAAAGAACGCCTCAGGTTGGATCAGATACCTTCAAATTGGACTGAGTCCTGTACCTGGCCTACAGCATCTGCGTCTGTAGTCCCCAGGGTATGGAATGGAGGGCAACTGACTCACCCCCAAAGCCTTGGATTCCCTCATGAAGAAGCTTTGTGTGGGGCCCACCACAGGAGACATCTTCCTGGGAATCGGTCTTTTAACAGGTTGCATGGCCACAGGGCCTTTCATAGGATCTGCTGGGAAAGCTCCACTCATTGAATTTCTGGGTGTCGTCATTTCAACCGCAATACTCCTAAAAAATAAAATAATAAAATGAGAAGAGAACAGGATTTCAGTAGTCTTTTATCTTGTGTCATTCAACCTGCATACTGTTTTTTTCTGAATTCTTTCCATGGGTGTCGTTGGGGGTACACCTGGCCTCTTCCTTGTGACTTTGGATCTGAGGCAAGGCTGTGTTCTAAGACAGGGTTTGGAGGGAGCATCTCAGGCCAGGACATATGTGCCCAGGGGTCGCTGCCGGTATTCTTGACAACTACGTTTGGGGCATAATTTTTCTTTGTAGAGAACATGCTCATATATCTGCATGTCCTGTTTGTCTCTCAGCCCTGGGTGCTTTTCTTACGCTTTAATATTGGAAAATGCATTTTGGACTGACTTGCTCTTGTCCCTTTGCTTACCTACTTTTGTCTGTTGTGATGGACCAGCAGCCTCGTGACAGAATATGATGGTGACTGCCCTTAGAGCCAGGAGGGGCCAACTGGAGTCTGCCCCCTGCCACTACTCTGTGACCTTCAGTTTATCACTGCCAGGAAGCTCTCTAAGGTTATATGTAAGACCACAGCCTCCTCAATCAAGTTGCCTAGGTTTTAATCATGATTCTTTTATTTGCCATGAAACTTTGGGCAAGTTTTTTAAAAGTCTCTGAGCCTCAAGTTCAACTGTAACATGGGGAAAATAATAATTCTTATCTCACAGGGCTGCTATAAGGCTTAAATGGTCTGAGGATCTGTGGGTGGCTGGTGTCTTTCTACTCAGGTGGAACTCAAATGTCAGATCCTCAGAGAAGCCTTCCCAGAACCCTCAATCCCGATGCATCCTCCCAGTTACTCTCTCCCACAGCGCCCCATTGTATTTGCTTCAGACACTTATCCCTGGGGGGGAGTTACTTTGACTACTTGCTTGCTTACTTATGCTCTGAATCTCCCCACTAGAATATAAGTTCCATCAAAGCAGAGGCCTTCATCTCTCTTACCCAGTATCTTAGTGGTTTCTTAGTAAATATGATTGGAGAAAATGTATGTAATGTACCCATGTCTGAATAATAATTAGCTGTCTTGGTTGTTGTTCTTGTTTTAGTATTATTACCTTTATGAGCATTAGTTTCTATTGTTTCCATGTGAAAAATAAGCACAATACCCCTTTCACAGGTATTTGTGAGAAATAAGTTAACATGTGAAAGTGCCTAGTACCTGGAGAAAGTAGTAAATGCTATTTGTTCTTAGAGTTAATTATTTCTGAAGTTAGACAGTGATTATTACCAAGGTCCTTCCCAGCTCTAATATTTAATTTAATTTTTATTTTTAAAAAATATATCTTTATTGATTTCAGAGAGAGGAAGGGAGAGTGAGAGAAAGAGAGAGAGAAATATCACTGATGAGAGAGTCGTCATTGATCAGCTGCCTCCTGCACGCCCCTGACTAGGGATCGAGCCCTCAACCCGGGCATGAACCCTGACCGGGAATCGAACCACGATCTCCTGGATCCTAGGTTGACGCTCAACCCCTGAGCCACACTGGCCAGGCCCAGCTCTAATATTTTAAGACTGCTCAGCCTTCTTCACCTTGGGCTTCCCTTTGGTAATCATTTGTGAAATGTCCGTAACTTACTTGAATTGTATTGGATCTTTCCTGGGCCCTGGAAAGCTCTCTTTGGGGACATGCCTTTGTTCTTGCCTTTATTGACTGGAAGTTGGTGGAGACCGAGGCTGCCTCTCTACCTTGGATATCTTACTGAAGTCACACAGAGCTGGGCAACAGCAGGTGTGACATGGGACAGGTGATTGGGAGTCTCCCGGGCCTCACTTTTGTACCTACTGTATAGTGACAAAGAGATTTCACACCTGGCATCTCACTGGAGCCTCACAGAGTAGCCTAGGGATGAGTCACTGTCCCTGTGTCGTACAGAAGGTAGCAAGGGCATAGAAAAGTTATGTAACTTGTTCAAAGTTTCAGGACCAGTAGAGGTTTAAGATGAGGACTTGACGTATCCAGAGAGGTACCTATGGCACCAGGCTGCTTTGTCGCCTGTGGGGAATAGGAATTCAGTCTCTTTTACTAACGAGCCTTTTCCTTCTCCTTCAAATAGATGGGTGACTCTAAATGAGTTGAAAACAGAGCGTCTGGGCTGGAGGGAAGAGAGGCGGCTTTGAGTGAGTGCTTTGCACTTGATTTTGCCCGAGCCCTAGATGATCAGTTGTCATGTGGTCCTGGGGATCTGCTTTGTACCACAAACCACCCCACAAGACCACCAACCAAAAGGAATATATTAATGTAGCCTGCTAGGGAGTTTACAAACTGATTCTGGTCACCAGGCAGGGTTTTTAGAGCTTGTCAGGGGAACCTCAGAAACCATTCTGTTCATTTGACTAGTGAGGAAGCTGCAGCCCAGGGATGGGACATGCCTTACCAAAGACCTTGCGCTCGGTGACCGAGCCAAACGGGAAGGCAGTCACCATGGCCCTGAGGCTGGTCCTCTTTCTGCTGTACCTCAAGCTAGGCCACATAGAATTGTTCACTGAGCACTTGCTATGTGCCAGGGATGGTGTATATGCATCTAGTTCCAGCTCTCCCAACCCCCTCTGTACTAAGCAGGCATTTCATCTTTCTGCAGATGAGGACATGGAGGTACCGAGAGGTTCACTTTCCCGTGGCAAGTGTGGGATGAGCTGGGAGTCACCACCCTCCTCTCCAGAGGGCTCATTTTAGTGAGGATGACTGTAAGAGCAAAGGTCATCAATTATCTAGATGATTGGGCTACTGTTGCTTTTAATTTCTCCATATTTTTCAACTGCCTAAGGCTGTGTCTGTATTATTGGTGAGATAAACCATTCCTGTAAACAAGTTCTACTCAAGCTAATGACAGTGGCTAATGGCAGTAATGACTATTGGGGGAATGATTTTCTGTGTTAAAATGATGTCTCGCTAAGTAAATTAATACAAAATCTTCAATAAATATTACTGTAAAATGGTAGTTTATAAACACAAACATACCTGTTTCTGTATGCTACTCCATGTCTTATGTAAATAATCTCATATACACACACACACACATATATATGTGTGTATATATATATACATATATATATATAATATGCTAGGGCATTATAGACTGACTGGGTAATGAAAAGTTTCATCCTATGGGAGTATATAAAACTAAACCACATACTCCTAAGGATATTGTAGATTCCTGAAGCTTTGCCTTAGCCCCCTCCAAAAAAAAAATTGTTCACAATCACCTAAATAATTATGCCCAAAGACTCGTTGGTACTTTAGTCGGGGTTACTGACCACATTGGTCAAAATGCGGTAACAACAGGATCCTATTTTCACTAAACCATATTAAAACCGGGACTCAGTTTACCGGACACTGCCCCATTTTATGACAGCGGGGTCTGCAAATGCCTTCTGATCCTGAAAGGCCCTCTGTCCCTGTCGGTCCGCTGCAGACGGGCTCTCGGCCTTCACGGGTCTGGGTTTGAGTTATGACTCGTGGGCCCAGAAATTCCATCCCTTACTGTGAAGTCCAAAGCTGCTGTTCCCTTACCGTCCCCCTTGGTTACCTCGACTTCCTCCTTTGCCACGCACAGTGCTTTTGCGGTTTATGCTTCGCGGCCCCCTGTGCACCCTGGGGGGACTGTCCCTCTTCCCACGCCCGGCCTGTCCCCTTCCACCAAGTCGCTGCCCTCCCGGGAAGCCTGCGCCCTGTGCCAGCGAGTCCCCGCTCCGCGGCTTGCTACTCTTGAGATCCCTCTATCCAAAGTACTGTTTTGAGAACATGAGATACCTTGCAATTTATAAAAGACTTAACAGTCAAAGAATAATTGTAATTACCCGACCTTTTTTTTTTTTTTTTTNTCTTTTTTTTTTTTTTTTTAATGATTAAAATGTGCCACGGTGTCCCCCAACCCGAGCCCCTTCCTTTAATCCAGCAGTGTCCCCGCCACTGCCAGCGTCCCCTGCCCTTACCCAGGGCTTCTTCAAGGCTGCGGTTCCTCCCCCCCACTCCCTCCCCTCCTCACCCTTCAGGCTTCGCTCGGCTGCGGCCACTCAACTGGAACTGCGCCTTCAGGGACCCGCTGCACAGCCCCCGGCCCTCCTTCAGGCGTCGCCCCTCAGGCCGCTTTATTTCTGCTCCCCTGTGGCCCAGGCTGGCCAAGCTGGAGCCGCCGGTCCCTCGCTCCTTTGCTCCCACGCTCACTCGTGGCCCGGCCCTGCCGGATGGGCCTCTGTGATGCACCTTATCTGGCAGGTGAACATTTGTTCTACTTCCACTGTCACCTCATGCATTCAATTCTCACTTCCTCCCTTGGTTTAAGCACAGAAGTCTTGCTTCTCTGCCTTCAGTCTTTCTCTTTTTTAACCCACCCTCCCTCCACCCTTCTGTGATGGATCTGAGGCAGGATTTGGGGCTCATTTTGGTGTCCGCCGACTCCCTCCAGAAATGTGAGGCCGCGCTCAGCCCTAAATTGCTACCTAAGTCGTGGCTTCCCGAGCTGGAGCTCTCCCTGCCACCTGGCGTTGCCTGCGGAGGAGCCTTCGAGTCCAGCTTTACCGGGTCTGCACATGCCTCCTGCTCTCTCCTTCGAATCCCCTCCTCGAAATGCCCCTCCTGCCCCTTCCTTTTCGGTCAAACTCCCCACGAGACATGCACACCACCTGAGGCTGTCCCTGCTCTTCTCGCCCCTGGCAGCAACTTCTCTTCCAAAGCCACAGCTCTTGGCCTTTCTGACTCGTCACCGACAGTTTTCTTCCTCTGCATATTGCAGCTTCTCTAATGGGGTGTAGTAAATCCCGCAAGGAAATGTCCTACTAGGGCTACGCAGAGAACTCCTTTTCTCTGCACTTTGAGCTCAGTAAATGTCACAGTGAACCCTAAACTGAACTGCGTCCTCGGAGCAGGTTTACGGAACGCGCAGGACAGCGGACAAAAAAGTAGTGGGATCAGTGAGATGAAGCCGTCTTACGGGAAACAGGGCACAGGAGTCACATTATATACTGG